CCCGAGTCCGATCCGCCGCGCCGCGCCGCGCAGAAGAGCCCGGGGCGCCAAGCGGCGCGCGCGCTCCTGCCGGGCCAGCCGCGGCGCGGGCAGCACGTGTCGGGCCGCCTCGGAGGCGCCTCCCCGGCCCGCCCCGACGGCCCCCTGGCCGGAGAGAGACGGGGGAGGGACGCTTCCCACCCCCCGGGCGGCTCACATGACCGAGGCCAGCGATGGACCGAGACGAAGGGCCCGAAGCGAGCCCGGGAGGAGGCGCGGGTAAGCAGCCTCGCCAAGGCGCCTTCCCTGCGGCGCGCCCGCTCCCCGCCTGGGCCAGCGGCGCCTGCCTGCCTCGCTCTCCAGCGCCAGGCCGCCCCCCGGCCGCCTCCCCCCCCCCCGGGCTGGGGACGATGGGCAGGGCGACCCACAGCCCGGGAGACCCCGGCGCGCCCCGGCCGGCTTGGAGAGCTTGGAGAGGTCCCGGGGGTCCCTTCGCCTCTCGGGGGTCCTTCTACCCATCTGGAGGGCCGGAGGGTCCCGGCCCGGCGGCGCAGGGTCCGGGGCGGTGGGGCAGCGGGGTTTTAAGCGCTGCGCGGGGCGCCCCCTCCCCTCTTCTCCTCGCCAGCCGGGGTTTCTAAGCGCAGCGCCCTAACCTTGAAAAGGCGGCTCTGGAGGGAAGGGATCGGGAGCAAGGGAAAGGCGTGGGAGGGTGGCAGCTGGGTGGCTGGGGGGGATGGGAGGTGTAGTCCTCGCCCAGCTGGAGCACTCCGAGGCAGGAAGACCCCCTGCGGGCCTCCCCACCACCCCCCACCCCAATTCCAGGTTTGGAAAAAGAAGGCCTGGATTCTCTCCCCCCCCTTTTTTTTTTAAAAAAAGGAGGTTGGGAGGGTTCAGATCTGGGTTTCTCTCCCAAGCGGGCAACTTGTGGACCCCCACCTCCCAGAAAGCCAGCTGGGGAATTCTGGGAGTTGAAGTCCACCTACAGGTGGTCCTCGACTTACAACTGTTCGCTTAGTGACCGTTCAACGTTAACAACGGCACTGAAAAACGGACCGACTTTCACCCTTAGGACCCTTGCAAGCCTCCCCGCGGTCACCTGAACCAAAATCAGAAGCCTGGCAACTGACTCACATTTATGACGGTTGCAGCGTCCCTGTGGGGGGGGGTCACCTGATTCCCCCCTTTTGTGACCTTCTGACAAGCCACGTCAATGGCGAATCCGGGTTCACTTAACAACCGTGTTAGGAACTTGACAACTGCACGGTGTCTCACTTAGCAACATCAATTTTGGGCTCAATTGTGGCCGTAAATCGAGGACTATCTGTTATCTTAAAGTTGCCACAGTTCCGGAAAGCCTGGATTTAGAAGCTGAGCTGAAATGACTTGCCCCGTGGAGGTTGGCATGATCTGCTTGCCCTTTTAGGTGAACTTAGCTTCTTTATTATTATTTTTATGGTTAAAAAAATGCTGCTGATTTCTTCACATGATGTGTTTGTGGTCGCACCAAGCTGGTTATGTCGATCATGAGTTGCCTATCGTGACTCTTCACACAATCCGTTGTGGCTTCATGGGCCGTTTGGGAGGTTGGGCTGCATCTAGGTGAGGCCAGCCTTTGTGGCCTGGAAATTGTGGTTTGTGGCTTGACATGCTGCATTAGTCCAGCCGAAGATGTTTTACCCCCAATAAACCAACATTAACCCAAGCATGGCTTAATAGGTGTAAATCCAACCCAGTGATTGGCATGCTTGCCTGTTAGTAGCCCGATTGTCATTTTCTGGCTTTTTGTGCTGGCTGTAAAGTCTGGGTTTTATTTTGTGTTATGCCGATTGGCTCACTTACTCAATCAACTTTTCTTCTTTTCTACGCAATGAACTCAGCGTATTACCCAACGCCCTCTCTCTGCTGTGTGGATTGATTTAGTAGGGACTGATTAAGCTTTCTAGGAAGGAACTGAATGAGAGCAAAGGAAATAAAAAGAGGCACTCAACGCACTCGGTTAACTTTGCACTGTCTCGTTTTTAATATGAGAAAGTCTCTAGAACAGTGTTTCTCAACCTTGACAATTTTAAGGCATGTGGACTTCAACTCCCAGAATTCCACAGCCAGCAATGCTGGCTGTGGAATTCTGGGAGTTGAAGTCCACATGCCTTAAAATTGTCAAGGTTGAGAAACACTGCTCTAGAAAACTTCCTTTGCTGTCTCTGATCTTGTTTGGGCTGACAAACATCTGGACTAATTTCTTAATAACAGCGCTAGGATTTGGGCGCCTGTATTTCACCTGCAGCATTTTTACCCCTCTCTTTAGCCCAAAGATTTCGGAGGCTCTCGGATTTTAGAGCCGGAAAGTGAGGGCATGCAAGGAAAAACAGGTGGGGTCGGAGCAGGAAAAAAAAAAAAGCAAGCTCAAGGCATGAGGCTGTCACTGATGCTTCTCTGGGCTCCATGTTGATCCTGCAGGTTTTTCCTTCCTGCTTGTCTCCAGTGTGGCTCCCTCTATTCCATGTGGATTGCCGGTGCTGATGCTTCAGGCCCCGCTTCTGCTCCTTTGTGGCTTTTGTTTGTTTTCTTCCATTGTTTCCTCTGGGGCTTAAAGCCTTGTGTGATCTTGCACAATATTTCCAATATTTAGGCTCGAGAGAGCTGGGAACAGATTCTGCTCAGCATAAGGAACGGAACGCCTTTGCTGGGTCAGACAACCGTCCGTGGCAAGTAGGACTTTGGCCAGCAAATCCCTTGGAATGCAGTGTCTGTGTCCCCTGGGCCTGGTTGCTGTGTTTAGGATAGCATAGGATAGGATAGGAATGGAATAGAATAGAATAGCAGAGTTGGAAGGGACCTTGGGGGTCTTCTAGTCCAACCCCCTGCTCAGGCAGGAAACCCTATACCATTCCACTTAACAAACGTCTCACTTAGCCACATAAATTTTGGGCCGTAAGTCGAGAACTGCCTGTACCAGTTGCCAAGCAACCTGATTTGGTCACAAATTGATCCCAGGGATGCAGTCCTTGAACTTATGACTGTCACAGCATCCCTGGGATCAATTTCAGCCACCTTTTTTAGAGCCCTCGTAACTTTGAACGGTCACTAAACGAACGGTCACAAGTGGAGGACTCCCTGTATTGCAAATTCTGGTCATTGTTTTCCTTTTTTTTTTTTCACCCCTTTCTGAAGACTCCGTATGGTGCCGTCTTGTATTATCCAGCCTAATCACCCTTGAGCAGATTAATAACCGAGGGGCCTATGCTTAATCTGATGCTTCTTGGCTGAGCAGGATTTGAACTCGGCTCTTCCAAGTCACAATCCACAAGGAGGCCATCGCCTCCCTAGTCCGTGAGTTGCCATCTCTCCCAAGCTCCAGGCTGTAAGTTCAGTAGCAAGAGATTTTTTTTTTTAAGTGAGCGTTTCAGACATCTGGAGGCGCTTATGTAACTCAACCCTCAACCACCAGGCCCTGTGGTTTGGGATAAATATTTATATATATATATTAATATTTCTTAAAGCCTCTTTGCAGGCCTGGAATGGATATGGGCTGAAATTTGGAGAGGCAGGTTTTCCTGGTTTTGTACGGAACTCAAAACCAAGAAATGAACGTTGCAACTCGGCTTAAAGACCACAACGGTCAACGGTGGTCAGGCTGGCATTGGAACCAGGTTGTTTTGTGTCTCGAATCCCGCACAGCCTGGTCAAAAACAACTCTGTCCAAACCGGGGGAAAAAATTATTTTTCCCCAGCTGTTTCTCATTACCGAAGATTATTTGGCAGGGATCTTTTTTTATTTTGCTTTCCTCGGGCCAGAAAATTGCAGAAGTACGTTGGGCTGTGTGTTAACTTTCCGAAATCATTTCAGTTCCATTTTCTGATGAATTCTAGAAATGTTAAAAGAGTGTGGTGGGGGGATTTCCTGAGAAGCGGGGAGGGGGGAACCCCTAAATTTTTCCTGATCAGAAACTCTAAATGGGAAATTAGAACGCTTCCAGACTATTATTTCTAAACTTCTTCTTTTTTCCTCTTACAAGCTGGATTAGAAAAAGGAAGCAAAAACGGCAGTAAACAAGCTAGGATGATTTGATTTGGAGCTGATCTCCTTGTTATCCTGTTTCCAGTTATTGCCATTTGCTGAGGTTTGCATTCCATTGTAGCTCTGTTTTCTTCTCTCTCTCTCTCTCTCTCTCTCTCTCTCTCTCTCTCTCTCTCTCTCTCTCTCTCATATTCTCTCTTTCGTTCTTTCGCATACTTTCTCATTCTCTCTTTCCCTTTCTTTCTCTCTCTTTTTCTCTTTCTCATTCTCTCTTTCTCTCACCCCCTCTCTCCCCTTTCTTTCCCTCTCTCTCTTTCTCTTACTCTCTCTTTCTCATTCTCTTTCTCTTTCTGTCTTCCTCTCTCTCATTTTGTTGCTCTCTTTCGCTCTTTCTTTCTCATTCTCTTTCTTTCTCTCTCTCATTCTCTGTCTCTTTCATTCTTTCTCATTCTCTTTCCCTTTCTCTCTCTTTCTCATTCTCTCTTTCCCTCTCTCCCCTTTCTTTCCTCTCTCTCTCTTTCTTTTCCTCTCTTTCTCATTCTCTCTCTTTCTCTCTTCCTCTCTCTCATTCTTTCGCTCTCTTTCTCTCTTTCTCATTCTCTTTCTCTCTCTCTCTCTCCCTCTTTTACCCTAGAATAGGTGAGACGTGGAGAAAACTGCTATTCGTGGCTTATTCTGGCTGTACAGTGGCAGGCAAACATCTGGTTTTGTTTGTTTGGAAGCCCAGTTTCCCTCTGCTTTGCAAGGTCGGGCCTTGAGGTTGGAATGAGGAATCCTTGATTTTTTTTCCCCCTTCCCCCCCTTCTCCCCCCCCACCAGTGGGATTTGCTCTGTTCCTTCCGGAGGAAGAATTTCTCTCTCTGGGAAGGGACCTTGGACTTTGGGGAGTGTTGCAATGCCTGTGTTTTGCTTTGGACCAAACGTGTCTTGGAACTGCATTTCGCCCAGATGGAGGTTGAGAGGTTTTGCCACATGGCATCCCGACCTCAAAGGAATGTTTTGGCTTTCAGAGTGGTGTTTTTTTTTACATATAAATATTCTGTTCAATCCTGTCTGATTCTCGGAGACGGCCTGGACAAGCCCGTTTTCCTGGCTGAGGACGTTTGCCCTTGTCTGCTTCTTAGAGCTTGGAGAGACAGATTGGTTTGAGGTCACCCAGCTGTTTCGCTGCCTAAAGCAGGATTAGAATTCATGGTCTCCTGGTCCCCAACCTGGTGCCTTCACCACCACCCCAAACTGGCTCTCTTGAGATTTTTAAGACTGCTCAAAGGTTGGCAAATGGGGACTACTGCGAGTGTGACGTTACCTCCCTGAAATAATTCAAACAGACCCCCCTATCTTCCTTGGAATAACAGAATAACAGAGCTGGAAGGGACCTCAGAGGTCTTCTAGTCCAACCCCTTACCTTCCTGTGTGTGAGGAAAACAACCTGCTCCCGTGCAGTTGTGGCTCTGTGTGATGGGTGGGAGGGGGTCCTTCTGTTCTAGCCGTCCACATCTGCAGGCGTGGCATTTCAGTGGCATCACATGGGAAAGATTTTGGGTTAGGAATATGACTCCATTCCTGGGCCAAGTTTTGAGATTGTCCAGTCGGTCACAATGGGTCGAGTTAACCTGAGCTCAGGTGGGCCAGTGATTCTCAGACTCGACCACTTTAAGACAGGTGGACTTCAACACCCAGGATTTAACTGCAGTGATTCGCTTAACGACCTGGGCCAAAACAGTGCGTACATTTGGGCGTAACTCCCTTAAACCACCGCTTTGCTTAGCGGAGGAAATTCTGCTCCCCCATGAAGACTGAAAGACTGGTAAGAAAGGCAGAGAAATCTTGAGTGGTGGGTTTAGAAGAGGAGAGAGGATAGCTTGGTTATACAGGTGGTCCTCGGCTTATGACCGCAACGGAGCCCCAAATTTCCATCCCTAAGTGAGACACTTGTTAAGTGAGTTTTGCCCCACTTTACGACTTTTCTTGCCACCGTTGTTAAGCAAATCATCATGGCTGGGAAGTGAGACTGGATTCCGCATTGACTTTGCTTGTCAGAAAGCTGCAAAAACACAACCGTCATAAATACGAGTCGGTGGCCAAGCGTCTGAATTTTGATCACGTGACCGCGGAGATGCTGCAGCGGTCTAAGTGTGAAAAACGGCCACCCGTCCCTTTTTCCGCTGCCGTCGTAACTTTGAATGGTCACTAAATGGACCGCTGTAAGTTGAGGACTGCCTGTATTAGCCTTCCTCCGGATTTATTCATCGCTCTTAGCAATGGTTGGTTTACCCATGATTTTTGGAGCGAGCCGTGATCGGCTGGCTTCCTGCAACCCTCATCTGCAAACCCCCCCAGCGGTTGGGTTCACACAACCAGAGTGCCCCCGAAACCAAGCCGTGTGTTACAGCTGGTTCATTGTGATGGGTGAACCTTGCCTTGAGTTATTCGATGGTCTCCAACTTAGACCTTTTGGCTCTGTAGGGACTACAGCTCCCACCGAACCCACATCTGGGGAGTCTCACCTTGGAAAAAGGCCGTTGCGGATAAAATAAGAGCAACGAGAAACAGACGGTGGGTCTGTCCTTCACCCAACTTCCTGGGCTCCCAAAATGTTGGGAGTGGACATCTTTAGCAGACAGGACGGTGTTTTTCCTTCGGTTGGCATCGAAATCTTCATTCTCCACACACACACACCCCTTTTCCAGGGTTGGTTGTGCGAACAAGATTCAAGAATGCCAGCTGTAGGCTTTCCTGCGTTTTGATCTTAGCGGGAGCCAGTTCGACAAGAATTACCAGCCACTTGACTGGCTCCCTTTGATGAATTTTGTTGGCACCCGGCTGAGCAGAGCAACTGCTTCTGGAGAGGTGTGGGGGTTTGAAACGTTTCTGGGTAGTTTAGGTGAGGATCCTAGGTGTGTGTGTGTGTGTCTGCTCAGGCAGAGCGATTTGCAGACTGCGTAGCCCAGGTCTCTTCCCACTGGCTTTTTCAAGAGCGTCTCCTTCCTTTTGGAATTCTCTGTTCTCCTCTAGAGGTGGGGGAGCCTGCCGTCAGTGACCCGAAGGATCCAGAAGAACCTCGCATGCAGAGGCCTCCGGGAAGTCCCCTGGTCCTCCCTCACACCTTGCAGGAGCTCCTGAGCAAAGACATCGTTCAAGTGCAGTTAATCCCGGAGAAAAGGGGGCTGTTTTTGAAGCACGTGGAATATGAAGTCTCCAGCAAGGTTGGTGATGGGGGAATAAATTCAATTTCTGGGCTTGGCTGGAGAAACTGGGTTGATCCGCCAGACCTCGGGCTGGGCTGGGCTGGGCTGAGCGGAGCAACGAAAGGGGTGTATTTGCAGAAAGCAAAAAGATTGGCCTGAACAAAGAGTGAAGCAATTTGTCTTGGCCCTTAGCTGAAGCTCGCAGGCTTGCAAGAGGCTGTGTCTTGGGAGAGAGCTATGTCCCCCCCCCCCTAAAAAAGAGAGAACATCTGTATTTTGCAGCTGTTTATCAGTTCTGTGCTTAGCAATGTCAAGCACATTGTGCAAGACTGGCATTTTAGAAACCATAGTTAATGGGATATAAACTTCTTTTCCTTCTCAACCTCTAACCCAATGCTTCCCAAACTTGGCAGCTTTAAGGTGGGCGGACTTCAACTCCCAGAATTCCCCAGCCAGCCACATTGCCAAAGTTGCAGAACGCTACTCTAAAGGGCTAACCCTTGGCTAGAGCTGTTTGTCAAATAATGTAATGCATTACTTAAGTTTTATAATGTCACTATCAAATTATAGAAGGAGAAGAAAGGACTCCTTTTTTTTACTATTATGGAGCCTCTCTGTAATCAATATAATAAATAATAAAAATTGGACTGGATTTGCACCAGATCAATTGATGGAATCCGTTCCTTGGGTCTCGGGAAGCCTCCCATCCACATATTCGAACCAGCTGGCTGTAGGAAAGATCTCATCTAGGAATAATCTGTACACTTTAAAAGGTTTTTTTTTTTTTTAATAATCTGCAAGTACATATACAGCGTGAGATGCCAAGATTGGCAAAGAGGGTTGCCAGTTTGCAGAAAGAAAGAAAAAAAACCCTATTATTTCATTTATAAACATAATTGGAGTTTATAAAGCTGTATCAATTCCAGCCATTTCGATCGTGGCTGAGCGCTTGTATTGACTGACTCCCGTTCATTTCTCGGGCTGGTGAAAAAAAAATATATATCTCGATTTGAAGCCTTGCCTTTCAATTCTCCAGAAATAAATGATTTCCCCCCCCCCCCCGCAAAAGGATTTTTTGCTTCTTTTCTTCCACATTTGCTGTTGGCAGCTTTTCTCAGCCCTTATTTTTCAGGGTGATTCAAACTCCAGCAATGAAGGCGAGGGGAAAGCTTCCAGCGTGTTGCATCATTTAGCTTTTCGAGAGGATTTATTGCTTGCTGCAAGACGTGGCTGTTGTGGTTTGTTTAGATCTGTTGTGAAGGGAGACTGAGACAGGATTCTTTGATGTTTAAGCGAAGGGTGAACTGATAAGTTTGTTCTCACCAGGTCCTTTGACTAGCTGCCCATCACTCAAAATGAGACCTGTTTATTTATTTAATCGCTGTAGGTAGCCGCCCATCTCAGTAAGGAACTTTGGGCAATGAAGAAGGTTAAAAGTAAAAATAGAAACAATAACAACTGCAAAAATCAAAAGTAGATAGCAGCCAAGAGAGAAATTCCCTGAGGATAGGCTCCAGCACGTGTCCAAAAGCTTGGAAGGCAAAAAAAACCTCTCTGGTCTCCTTGACCGACAAAAATTGGATCCTGCAACATTAGCCCCAGGACACGTAGATTTTGCCTTCCTTCATAAGAAATGCAACAATTGTTAACACAGCCAGGAGATGGGTCCTTTCACACACTTGGGGCAGAATGGGACAATTCACTGCAAGACAACTCACTGTGGGGCAATTTAACAATTCAATTATTTTAAAAATTATTTTAACTTTTGCCATTCCCCTTTCATTTTGTCCCTCCATTGGCATCCTTTCTTTGATGATTCTATTCCACTATTTCTTCGATATTAGGGTAATGCTTGTCCCACGTTGAGCTGGACGTGGGAAGTTGTTGTAGATCCCACTCGGGGACCCAGGTCTGGGCACAGAACCAAGTTTTTGGGGTCTTGGGAAAGGCCAGCAGGATTGGGTCCAACCTCATCTCTGGAGAGAAAAGGCTGTATAGGGTGGGCACCATGGCAGAAAAGATGTCTCTTCTGGCCCTCACTTTCCGGCATCCCTTAGCCAATGAGATCTGGAGTGTTCCCATCTTGAGAGACGAGATGGGATGGGTAGGAACTACCAGGGTCCCTTAAGCAACCCAGGAGATGCTGGACAAGATGGCGTCTAGGGCTTCTGTTCCTGTGCCAAGGTGTCAAGAGCTCCAGCATCTCCTTTGAGGAAGCTCTGAATAGACTCCTTCATTCGCCCTACAGCGTTTTAGGTGCTCCGTTTACCGGCGGTATAACGATTTTGTGGTTTTCCATGAGATGCTCCTTCAGAAGTTCCCCTACCGTATGGTCCCTGGCTTGCCTCCCAAGAGGATGTTAGGAGGTAAGCTTAGAGAGATAACTAAACTCCAGGAAGACCATCAATGATGGCCTTCCCTAACCTGGTCTCTTTCCAAATGGGTTTGGAACGATGACGGTTAGACTTCCTAGTCAACCAAGGCATTCTGTTGGGAGTTGAAGTCCCAGCCCCTCTACAGATGTCCTGTTGACCCTAGCTTATGGCTGGGATTGGTATAAGAAGTGGGATTTCCTTTTGTGCATAAAAACGATCAGGAAGGTTTTGAAGATTGAGGTACCTAACGTGGCCCTTCTCCCATCTTCCAGCTGACCGAGAATTCATCGAAACTAGACGCCGTGCCTTGAAGCGCTTCATCAACCTGGTGGCGCGACACCCTCCTTTTTCAGAAGATGTGCTTCTGAAGTTCTTCCTCTCTTTCAGTGGGTCGGTAAGTGTGCATGAGAAAGACTCCATGGGTCACTGAATATGTTGTAGAGATCAGTGCTTGCTGGCTTATCTAGTATTGGTTTACCAGATGCCTCCTATCGGTTAGATATCTACCATAACATTGTCCAAAGCAGGACTTTCCAAACTGGGCAACCTTTACAGGATCTTAAGGCTACTAGTAATTTATCTAGTTGCTCAGTTGCATATATATATATCCAGTGAAGGAGATAAACCACATTTGTGATGCCCAAACTTGCCTTGAGTAGCACCTGATCTTACATGGGGTCATCCCAACAGCAATTAGCTAGATGACAGAGATTGACTCAAACCAGGGACAATTTGATGTTTCCAGTTAATCTTGTGATCAACCCCCCAATTTCTGGTATCTGAGATTGCTACAGCTCTCATACGTTGAATCCAGAGGTGGCCTTTGAGTCAAAGGTGAGAGATTAGCTCCCGGCACACAGGCCACAAACGTTGACACATTGTGCTGACGGATGCAAAACTCCAGGAAGGCGTAAGGAGATAGCCGCTGCTAACACCACCGATGACTGTAGGAACGTGCTCCAGTTCCTTTTTTGTCCCTCTTCCTATTTGTATCCTTCTTGTTGTTGTTCCAGGATGTTCAGAACAAGCTGAGGGAGCTGGTCCAGGGTGTGGGAGACGAATTCATGACCTGCAAGTTCGCAATGCAGGCAAAGGTATTGTCTGGAGAGACCTCCTGTTAGAGACGTGGACGTGGGGTGGCTTCAGCAGAAGACTTCCGTTTGTAACAGAGAGATAGAAAGGCTCAATCCTGGTGTTTCTCAATGTTGGGGTGGACTTCAACGCCCAGAATTCCCCAGTCAGTGTTGGAAGTTGAAGTCCACCCATCTTAAAGCGGCCAACATTGACTTAAGATACTTGAGCTGCATTGAGAATGAGAGGCTGAGGAGGATTGTACCAGCTGCGGTCAACTTCTCCTGCTATGTAGGACAGAGGTCCCCAACCTTTTGGGCACCAGGGACCGGTGCCATGGAGAAAGGTTTTTCCGTGGGGGTGTGGTTTTGAATACTGCCTGCATCCCGAGGGTGGAGCTTTGCTTGTTTGTGCGGCCCACTTGCTGGCATGCTGCAGACCGGTGCCGGTCCACAGACCTGGGATAGGGCACTCCTGATGTAAGGTTCTTCCAACTATGTGGAAGCTGATTGTGCTATCACCATCCCCAGCCCAGCGCCCCTCCAGCCTCCCCATGTAGCTGTTATTGTGTCTCTTTCCTGCTCCTCCTCCAGGAGTATTTGCCCACAGACATCCAGATCCACTTTGCGGCCAGCCGAGAATTGATCAGGAACATCTACAACAGCTTCTACAAACTCAGGGACCGGACGGAGCGGATCGCATCCCGGGCGGTGGACAATGCCTCGGACCTTCTCCTGTTTGGGAAGGAGCTAAGGTGAGGGGGTGTGGACTGAGGCACCTGCTTTCTAGACCGGGGGGTCCTCAACCTTGGACACTTTAAGACTTGTGGACTTCAGCTCCCAGAATCGTAAGGCCCATTTTTGGGGGGGCTGTTGTAGCTTTCAATGGTCACTAAATGAACTATTGTAAGTTGAGGACGACCCGTATTGGATGACCAAATAAGGAAGGAGGGTCTAAGGCAGGTCTGGGGGCTTGGTGCAAGTGGGGGGGTTGGTGCAAAGGCCTGGCAGGGTCTTCATGGATACACACACACACACACACACACACCCTTCTTCCGGCAGTGCTTTGGGCTCGGACACAACCCCGCTGCCTTCCTGGGCAGCCCTCAACAGCGGCGTCTGGAGCGACCTGAAGCAGGCGCTCAAAGGCCTCTCCGTAGAATTCGCCATGCTGGCCGACAAAGCTGTGCAGCAGGTGAGCTGGGGTAGGGGATGGGGGCAAGGGTGGCGTGGGAGGGGGTGGGTGCCCTCCCCCTCTGAGATTCATTGATGTTTCCGTGAAGATTGCAAAGCAGCGCCTGGCTGGCCGATCCTCATTTAGCGACCGCCTTGCTTGGCGAACGTCCGCACTAGCCACGGGGACGAAAAAGTCACCAGGCGGCCCTCTCCTTCGCCGGTCTCCTAAAGCAAAGGAAGACGGGAGGAAGAACGTAAGCAATGTTTCACTTAACGACGGTCACGGTTTCGCTTAACGACGGCATCCGCTTAACGACCAAGAAGACGCCAGTTCCGGCTTCAGCCTCCGAGCAAGGACAACCTGCAAATCGTGGCCGTTCTCCAGGCAATTGCCCAGGATGGGATCCTGTTGATTAACTCATTATAAAAAAATAAGGAAGAGCCATCGGAAGGCACAGCCGTATTAGAGAGAGACGTGTCTGAAAACGAATGTCAATTTTTTAGAGGGAGGGGTTTTTTCACTTAATGACTGCATCGCTTACTGACGGATGTGTCGGTCACCAGCTGAGGACTACCCGTATGTGTGTGTGTAGATATGTATGTGCGTGTGTGTGTATGGATATACGCACACACACATGCCCATACACAGAATACCTGCACATCCATCCACCCGCCATCGCCTTCAGCTTGAATTTCTCTACCTCCCCCCCCCCTCGCTTTTTATCTTCTCTCCGTTGAAAGATTCCCCCGGAGAGCTTCCTTTCCAAGACGGGATCCAGCCTGCAAGGGGCCACTTCCCACCGGCTTCCTCCCTTCCTGCCCTCGGGCGGGCAGGGAGGCCTGGGTGAGCAGCTGCCCCCCACCTCCCCCCACACCCCATTCACGGGGTTCTCTTTCGTTCTGCTGCCCAGGGTAAACAGGAAGAGAACGACGTGGTGGAGAAACTCAACCTTTTCCTGGACTTGCTCCAGTCTTATAAAGTGAGTCCCACGTTCAGTCCGTTTGTTTGGGAAGAGAAAGGCTGGGCCACGGCTGGGGGCTGGAGGAGAAGTGGGAAGTGTCCGAAACAGGAGAGTCAAGGAATGAAAAAGGGGAAAAATGGGTGGGTGGACGGACGGACAGACAGACAGACAGATAAATGATAGATAGATAGATAGATAGATAGATAGATAGATAGATAGATAGATAGATAGATAGATAGATAGATAGATAGATAGATAGATAGATAGATAGATGATAGACAGACAGAGATAGATAGATAGATAGATAGATAGATAGATAGATAGATAGATAGATAGATAGATAGATAGATAGATAGATAGATAGGTGATAGACAGAGATAGATAGATAGATAGATAGATAGATAGATAGATAGATAGATAGATAGATAGATAGATATAGATAAATGATAGAGATAGGTAGACAGACTGAGTTCTAATTACTACTATCTACTATTCTGTCTGCTATCTGTCTATCTCTATCTCTTTCTATCTGTCTATTTACTATCTCTATCCATCTGTCTATCTGTCACTGTTCTAATTACTACTACTACCTACTATCTACTATCTGTACTATCTATCTATCTATCTATCTATCTATCTATCTATCTATCTATCTATCTATCTATCTAGATAGACAGACAGACTGACTGATAGATGATAGAGAGGTAGACAGGCAGACAGACAGAGCTAGTTTGACAGACAGGGATGGATGGATAGGCTAGAGAGAAATACAGTAGATAGAGCTAGAGAGAGACAAGAGACAGGCAGATCGACAGATGCTACCGGTAGATAGAAATTAGCCCCCTGACGTCTGGTTCCCCTGGCCAGCTGCCTCTTCCGCCTTCCGCGTTGTAGGATCTGTGCGAGAGGCACGAGAAGGGCGTGTTGCACAAACACCAGAGGGCTCTGCACAAGTACAGCATGATGAAGAAGCAGATGATGAGCGCCACGGTGCAGAACAAGGAGCCGGAGTCGGTGGAGCAGCTGGAATCCCGGATCGTGGAGGTAGGGTCCTTGGGGGGGTCTTCTGAACCCGTGCTGGCCAACAAGAGGGACGTCGCAGAGAAACGTTTCTGCATCCTGAAAATGGTGGTGGGGTCTCGGTTTTTTATTTTGGATAAAAGAACAGAAAGTCGGGATGCGTTCAGTCCTCTTGGCAACGATAAGTTGGTGAAGCCAAAACAGCTGTGGAGAGTTTTCTGAGGCATCTGGGATTGGGGAAGAAGATGGGGCTGGGGGTGAGGTGTTGGATAGGAGAGGATAACTTGTGGTGTCTAATCTTTCCCTTCCTCTTTCCTTCTCCTTTCCTTTCCTTCTCCTTCTCTTTCTCCTTCCCCTTCTCTTCTGTCTCCTTTTTCCTCTTCTCTTCCTTCTCTTTTTCCTCCCTCTCCCCCTTTTCTCCTTCTTCTCTTCCTTCTCCTTTTCCTCCTCCTCTTTCTCCCTCTCCTCCCCCCTTTTCTTCTCCTTCTCTTCTGTCTCCTTTTTCCTCTTCTCTTCCTCCTCCTCTTCCTTTTCCTCCTCCTCCTCCCCGTTTCCCTTTGTCTTCCTCTTACCCACCCACCACCCTCAGCAAGAGAACGCAATCCTCACCATGGAGCAGCGCAACTACTTCTCCCTCTACTGCCTTCACCAAGAGACTCAACTCATCCACATTTACCTCCCGCTCACCTCTCACATCTTGGGGGCCTTCGTCAACTCGCAGATCCAAGGCCACCAAGAGGTAAGTGCCTACCAGGCTGGGGTGGGTGGGTGGCTGGAGGGCGCCCACCAGTTGGGCAGTCTGGCCGGTTCTTGTTTTCCTCAAGCACCCGAGGGCCACGGAGGGCCTCTCCGTAAATGCTGGAGAACAACTTCTGCTGGTGTTTCCTTGCCCTTCTGCCCACCGGCTCTGCCTCTCTCCTTTCCTTCTGCAGATGAGCACAGTCTGGAACGAACTGAAACCCAAGCTGAGCTGCCTCTTTGCAGGAACCAGCAGCGTGTTGATGCTCCCCTTGTCTGCTCAAGAGGAGAACTTTCTTCCCAGTTAATGTTTTGGGATTCAGGATGGGAGTGGCTGGAAGGAAGGGCTGCCCTTGACACTTAACCGGAACCTGTCCAGCTGTCCTCCTCTCGGCAAATCCTAGGTTTTGCCTCCCCGAGCCTGATTTGAGGGGACCCACAATCTCCAGGACGTAGAGATGTGATTTTTTTTTTTCAAAGGCCTCTTTTGTGCTTTATCATTTTTGCTATCCTCTGCGAAGGCTCAACCACGGCGCTCGGGGCAGATTTGGGGATGGGGCCTGCCCCCTGCCAAAAACAACGAGACGGGTTTGGGTGACCCACTCCACTCCAGGAATAAAACCCATAATTTCATTGAGGTTAGGGACGGGCAGCAAATCTAGGCCCCATCGATCAAAGGGGCACCCGTTTTCCTTAAACAGCATTCTGAGCAAAGTGACCATCGTGAGCTTTTCTCTCGTTTCGTTTTGAAAAGCCAGATGTTTAATTGAATAGAAGTGTAAGGCCCAGGTATGCTTCAACAGTAGACGGGGTTACGTGACTTCATGCCACGTAAGAAATGGCCAGCTGTCTCACAGAGGACTAGACTCATGAATTCATCTCTCAAAACACACGTCCAGCCTTGCCTCTGTGGAAGCCTCTCAGTGGCCAAGGTTGAGAATCTCTGCTCTAACGTCCCAAAGATGCTTTTTTTCAGGAGGCAATTGGTCTTTCTTGTTTTTCTTTGAAGACGTTTCGCTTCTCATCCAAGAAGCTTCTTCGGCTCTGATGGGATGGTGGGGAATGGAAGGATTTAGATTCTGAATGATCAGCTGTCTGTAAGGAATATAAATCCAGTTGCCTCCTGAAAAAGCACCTTGGGGACAACCAAGACCTGGATGACTGAGAATCTCCATAGACACTCCGCTATAAAAATTACTTTGTACCCTCCATGGGGCATATTCCTTCCCCTGTCCATTAATGTTCCTCGCCATACCTATCAAGGAAAGATTTCCACCAAAGCTCGGCCGAAAGTGGTGACTACATAAATACAGTGCCTTATTCCAATATATTTTTTTTAAAAACCTCTAGACAATCATCTTATTAACCAAAATGAACCTGGCTTGATTAAGTCTTGGTAAGCTGGCCAGGGGCTACCAGCCCTGAGGTTATATAAAAGGGGAAATCGTTGTTTGGTTCATGCCTAGTTAAACAAACCAGCTGTAAAAAGCTTGTTCTGCTGGATTTAAAAAAAAAATCCCAACTGCCATAAGGAAAGCTTGTCTCTTTTCTACAAGGTGAGAGGAGGTCATTTTGAGATTATTTTGAGGAAGCTCTATTTAAAGTGGATCATTTGGGATCATGGAACTTTTTTTTTTTTTTAGCAAGATGACAAAAGAAGTCATCTGAAGGGACTAAATGCCAAATTCTCAGGAAAGTAAATTGTCTTTTTTGTGTTTTTCCAAGTCATGTTTTGGTTTCGGGGTAGGTGGGCTTCCCCCAGCATCCTGGCATTTAATTTGACATTTGTAAAAGAGTGTCCGCTTTGCAAAAAGTATTGTTTTTAAACGAAGCACTTTATTATAAATGGCAGAATGTCTTTTATTTCCACTTGGTAGACTTTAATAAATGTTTCCGGAGTCTGACATCTCCAGGCCTTCCCACCCCAAAAGTTACAAAAAAGATCTATTTGTAAGAGAAATGCAAAACTCTATTAAAAGGTTGAACATTTATTTTAGCGCGGAACGTATTTATTGCAACGTGTACGATCAAAGCTTTTTTCTTCATGATATTGAGGATATCCTGGCATTTCTTCTTCTGGTTTGACCATATTTTCTCATAATCTAGTATTCTTTGATCACGGAACACATTCTGTACACGAACAAGTAGTTTTGAGGAGGTGTTTTTTTTTCCCCATGAATGAGTTCGGCAGAAGAGTCGTTTTGCTACAGGGCCGGTGGTGGTTCCTTGCCCGCCGAGATGTCCTTTATGTCTCCATCAGGAAATCTTTCTTGTGTTTCCTCCTGCATCTTCTCCACCTCCTTCAGGGTATATTCTAAGATAGTCTTCTGCCCCTGAAACTTAAAATAACCCAAGAAATGTTTCTTGCGGAGCAGAAGAGGAAACCAATATATATCGTCCGGCCACATCTCCTTGAAAGGTATCTGGTCCACGTCAAACCACTGAGGACGCATTTCTGCAATGGGAGAGAAACATGGTACAGGTAGTCCTAGACTTCTAACCACAATTGGGGCTAAAATCTCAGGATGGTTGCTAAATGAATCAAGTCCGATTTTATGACCTTTTTTTGCCGTGGCTGCTAAGTCGTTGAATCATGAGATTGTTAGGTGAATCCGGCTTCCCTGATTTTGTATGAAGCTGGCTTGAAGATCACCAATGGTGATCGTGTGACACACACACACACACACACACACCCTGGAGGTTGCAACCCTTGTGAAGTTGCCAAAATGGCAATGGTGATGTGATGGAACTTTGGAAAAAGTGCAAAGAAGAGCAACGAAGATGATTAAAGGCCTGGAGACAAAAACCTATGAAGAACGGTTGCAGGAACTGGGTATGGCCAGTCTAGAGAAAAGAAGGATTTAGGGGTGACATAGCAGTCTTCCAGTATTTGAGGGGCTGTCACAAAAAAGAGGGGGTCAATCTATTCTCCAAAGCCCCTGAAGGCAGGACAAGAAGCCATGGATGGAAACCAATCAACGAGAGAAGCAACGTGGAATTAAGGAGTAACTTCCTAACTGTGAGAACAATTAACTAGTGGAACGGCTTGCCTCCAGAGGTAGGTGCTTCATCACTGAAGGTTTTTAAGAAGAGACTGGACAGCCATTTGTCTGGAATGATATAGGGTCTCCTGCTTGAGCAGGGGGTTGGACTAGAAGACCTCCAAGGCCCCTTCCAGCTCTATTCTGATCGATGGAACCCTGCCAGTGTGATAGACACAGACTAAAAATAAAACCCACAGTGGCAGCTTGGATCCCATTATTATGCATGGAGGCCATCTTGACTTGCACACTTCCCTAATTCTGCTCATTCCCACCTACTTTCCTACCGTCACTTTCGGTGGGGTCTCCGTGGAAATTGTCAGCGCGAAAGATATGGACCTCCATCAGCTCCGAGTTGCCTACAAATTCAAAGGTAATTTGGCCCATTTTCTGCAAGGTGTCCACGGTCAAGCCACTCTCTTCCTGAAGCTCCCTGAAAGTAAGGGAACAAGAGAGTTTGCAAAGCTGGAGATGTTGGTTCACACGTTCCTTCTCACACCTGGGTGTTTCCCTCAGTTCTGCATTCCTGCATTTTCAACCGTTTTCTTAGGAATGGCAACAGGATAAGGGTGAAGGTGACCTATTGGTTTTCCAACTGGAAGCATCTGATCTCGTCTCCTTCCTTCCTTCCTTTTTCTTCCCATTTCCTTCCTTCCTTTTCTTTCCTTCTTTCCTTTCCTCCCTCTTCTTTTTTCCCCTTCCCTTACAAATTGAAATGAGTGAAATGAAAAACCTAAAATGTGACAGGGATGATAGCACCTTAGTGCACTCCTGCTCTCCCCCTCCTTAGGAACCTTTTCAATATGGGATGAGCTCTGCAGAAGTTGAATTAGAATGAAAACTCTGAAAGTTAGTAGCTGAGACAACTGAACTGGCTAAGATATCCCATACTTTGACACCGCCCAGGGAGCACGTGTAGCTTAAGGGATGCTATGGATGCAGACGCTTTTTAATTTGAATTGTGCGTGTATGTTTACTTCTTTGTCATCTTCTCTTCGTAGGCTAAATAATAATGGGTGAAATGACTCCCAGGTGATGAAATACAGTGATTCAGCGCCCATTCGTGGCCGCCCAAAACATTCCCTGAAGTCATTTCACCATTTTTCAATTTTATAGCATCTAGGTGAGTCCCCCTGTTTAGCCGATGATTGAGGTAAAACAAAGTCAGAACAAAAGGAAAGCAAAACGCCCTCAGTCCAGTATGAATCATCCTAACTCTGTTTGGCCCACAAACTAGAAGCGGAGCAGGTCACCAGGGCCTTGTGCAATTCCAAAATTGCAATCACGAGCCTTTTCCAAAGAATTGGAGAAGACTGGCCGCAGATCAGCGATTCCCAACCTTTCCAGTTTGGTGCCTCCCCCCCCCCCATCCTGATGGGGAGGGCGTGTGAGTGGCAGGCATTTGCACTGGCGCCTGCTCTGCCCATTTCTCCCATGCCCCGGGGGGGTTGGGGGCCCCTGCCATAGATAAAGTGGGTTGTCCTCCACCTTTTCGCTGCCTGCTCCACCGTCTCCCCCAGCTGCACCTTTCCACCGAAGCCGTTCCAGAGGCCGGCCCCGAAGCCGCGCTTTTTCATGCCCAGCAGGATGCGCTGCGGCTGCATCACCAGCACCAACGTGTACAGCTTAGTCGTCAGCATGCTGCATCCTAGGTCAAGAAGGAAGGGGAACGCATCCACGGTCAAGTCCGCAGAAATTCTGCGGGAAGCTGGGGCAGATTGCAAGAGAGGGGAGGGGAAAGGGGAAGGCTGAGGTTGCGGATACTGTGTTTTGCAAGAGGGTCAGGTACATGCCCAAAGCACTGGAAAAAGATAAACATTGAGGAAGGAAGGAAGGAAGGAAGGGGAAGGAAGGAGAGAGGCAGAGGAAGGAAGGAGGGAGGGAGGGAGGGAAGGGGAGAGATGAAATGAGAGGAAGGAAGGAAGGAAGGAAGGAGAGGCGAAGGGAGGGAGGGAAGGGAATGGCTGTTATCTTTGGGACCAGGGTTTCTCAATCTCAGCAACTTAAAAATGGGCGGACTTCAATTCCCAGCATTCCCCAGCCAGCATGCTTTAACAAGACTCCATGGAAGGTTTTCCCTCCTAACTTCTCGCTTTTAAGTTCCAGCCACGAATCGCCCCTAATGAGGAAAAAGAGGCAGAGCGCAATTGCTATGCAAAAAAAAAACCCCTGCCCCGAAGCTACCAAAGCCCTGGATTCTCTCTCTCTTTCTCTCCCTCCCTTTCTTCCTCTTCCTCCTCGCTTCCTCCTGCTAAGAAAATAGGGGGAAGAGGAGGAGGGAGACCCCCGGGCCCTACAGAGAGGCGACCCTCCCCAATGCGCTCCTTGCAAACCTGAAAGGAACGAAGCGCGTCTCAGATGCAAAAATACAACAAACAAACAAACAAAAAACCGTGCAGGGTCACACAGAACGTGGGAGACGGAGCGGCGTTTCCGGGGGGAGGATTATAGACGTCGGACTCAGTGCCACCCGAAAAGTGTCCCCCAGATCCCGGAAGTGGCCGGAGAAACCATGAGCCGGTGAGTGGGGCCGAATGCAACTAGACCTCCGGGAGGAACTAAGGCTCTCTCTCTCTCCCCCACCATTCCTGCTTCCCTTGCTCGGGGCTGCGGAGGGGGGTCTCCCGAATTAGGCTTGCCACGATTCCCGCGTCCCTTTCCCTTGGGTGGGCTGAGATGCCTTTTCATGATGGTTGTTGTTCCAGCTCTTCCTCTCGCCCGCCAGAGCGTTACTCTAGGGATTCTGGGAGTTGAAAGCCATACATGTTAAAGTATGCTGGCTGGGGAATTCTGGGAGTTGAAGTCCACCCATTTTAAAGTTGCTGAGCTTGAGAAATCCTGGTCCAGAAGATAACAGCCATTTCTTTCCTTCCTTCCTTCCTTCCTTCCTTCCTACCTACCTCTTTCTTTCCCTTCCTTCCTTCCTTCCTTCCTCTCATTTCATTTCCTTCCTTCCTCCCTTCTTTCTTTCCTTCCTTCCTTCCTTCCTTCCTTCCTTCCTTCCTTCCTTCCTTCCTTCCTTCCTTCCTTCCTTCCTTCCTCTTTCTTTCCCTTCCTTCCTTCCTCTCATTTCATTTCCTTCCTTCCTCCCTTCTTTCCTTCCATCCATCCATCCTAACTTACTATGTTTATACCATAGCTGTTGCTAATTTTCAGCAATCCCACCGGTTTTTCTCCCCCTTGCAGACGTCGGATGCTGCCCACCATTTTACTTCAGGTCCAGAGAATCCACACAGCAGGGCAGCACGTAGTAAAATCCAAAACAGGGGCAGAGCATCGCTGGCTGGAGAGGCATTTCCGAGATCCATTTGTGAAGCGAGCCAAAGAGAGGAACTATCGTTGCCGAAGTGCTTTCAAATTGCTGGAGATTGATGACAAACATCGCCTCTTTCGGCCTGGGCTGCATGTCCTCGATTGTGGGACGGCCCCCGGAGCCTGGGCTCAGGTAGCGGTTGAAAGAGTCAATGCCACAGGATCTGGTGAGTGGATGCCGAAGGCTACCGAGTCTGGATTGCAACCTGTTCTCAACCAGCCATACTGTGGTTTGGTTAGTTTGGATTGCCTCAGACTTCATAACGTACCATAAAATGCGATTGTTTTAGACCTGCCTGTTTATATTAAACTCCTTCTATCCAATAAATATTGCCAAGCCGTGTTTTTTCAGGTATTGACAGTATGTGGCTAGAGAAATTCTTCCCTCCGTTTGAATATGCGGGTTTTTTTTTTATCTCTACCCATGGCTTCATTTTAATATCATGGGTTTTCCCTCTGGGAAATGATAGTGAGAGCAGTCTTGAAAAGCCTCAGTTTAATTAATTAATGTCAGGCAAAAGTGCTCTGACAGCAGAAAACGTAACTGTTGGCTGGCTCTGGAGTGGCTTGACGACAGTACAAGACAGTGATTGATGAAGGAGATTTCTGAATTATTGATCCTTACAGAAAGCCTTGCTCATAAAAAAAACCCTGCTTGTTAGGAAGGTGCTAAAAATAAAATGATAGAATTGATTAAGAGGCCGGTCGTGAGTGACTTTCAGTAATTTCTTTTTTAATGCCACCAATAGGGAATACAAAGTGGTTTTCCTATTTTCCTTGCCAGCCTGCAAATAGATAGAAGTTCTGTTACTGACAGAATTCACAGATTTTGCTAAGTTATAAGGTGGCTTATTTAGTTCGAGTAGGCCTCTGCTTTTGATAAACTATGGTTAATTGGCTTAGTGCAAGTGTGAACCATCCAATTATGGCTTGTACAATGCACATAGCTAAGTCCCAAAGGTGCTTTTCAAAAGGCAGTTGAACTTTTTGGGGTTTTGGGGTTGAAAATGTTTTGCTTCTCATCCAAGAAGCTTCTTCTATTTGGCTTCTTGGATGAGAAGCGAAATGTATTTAAGGAAAAAACCAAGAAAGTCCAGTTCCATTTGGAAAAGCACCTTTGGATAACCATGACCTGAATGATTGAGAATCTCCAGAGACACATAACTAACCAAATCTTAGCTTAATGTAATGAATAAACCCAGGCAGGAAGGTCACTGAATAATTTTATGGGATAAGTAAGGGAGTAACAGAGGTCTGTATTATTATCCCTGGGAAGAATACACCAGTTCTGCCCTACTCACACTTTATGGCTTGAACAATCAGTAAGTAGATCATTTACTGTCTGGTATTTCATAGTTTCTAGAAACTGGGAAACAGCTTTCTGTTAAAAAGTAAGAATTCACTTATGCAGAGCCTTTAAAAAAAAGATTTATTACTTAGCATTACTTCTGGGTAATAGCGTAGGCTAAAGTTCCCTCAATCCACCGTTACAATGACCTATGGATTAGAAACATATCGGTCTTGTCCACTTGATGATCCAGAACGTAGGTGTCTTTAAAAGCAATTGGACCCACTTGCACCATAAATTTGCCTATCAGGGGCTATTCTGTGATTTCTAGATTCCCAGGCAGTATGTCATTAAACAACAGCTCCGGGAGGAGAACTATTTTATCTTTATGTCCTCGGTGCTCAGTCCTCATAAAAATGGCAGAATTTACGTGCCCTTGTATTGGTCATGAAGTCTACCGGCAGTAAAAAAAAAAAAAGGGGGGGGAATGGGAAATTGTTTTCTGCCTGAAATTCTGACTAAGCATCCCAAGGATCTTTTTGTGAATGTTGATATTGTAATGAAATGTGAAATTAACCCTGGGGGACAAAGGAAAGAAATGCTGAGTAGGAAACAATTAGATAAGAGAGGCAGGCCCCCCCAATTGCTTAAAACGGTCAGAGGAAGAAACTCAGAAAGGATCCATCCTACTTGATCAGGGAGTTAAAAGAGGAGCTGGGAAGTATGTACCTTCAGATCGAAAAGATTCTGTTAACATAGCCTTAAAATAAAGTAGAATTAGCTTGTCTGGTTGTGTTTCTGTCTAGTTCACCTGGGTGGACGAACTGATATTTGGCACCAAGGTTTCAAAATGAGCCAAATTTTGTTAATGTTTTTTCTCTTAACAGTTCTTCTTAGTGTATTAACGAGGCTTGAAGATAGAATGACACACAGATTTCAGTTGTTTCCAGAAATGTGTTGTCTTCGCCCGCAAAGGAAAAATTCAAATACTGTTTGCCTCAAACACCAAACATGATCTGCAAACTGACTTATGCAGGTCCAGCTCATTTAATTAGTTGAAACCCAGTAGAAAACCAGAAAATAGCCAAAGACTCTGGGGCTTCTTTAAAGACCAATAAACGTATTTTAATCTGTTTTTTTTTCCTCACATGGATTGCTTTGTGTCTTCTAGATCCAGATCAGCCTGTTGGCTTTGTCCTTGGAGTTGATCTCCTTCACCTTTTCCCCCTGGAAGGAGCGATTTTTCTCCCTCATGCCGATATCACGGATCCGGGCACCCAGAAGGAGATCCAAACTCTTCTCCCGAAAGGAAAAGCGGATATTATCCTAAGCGACATGGCGCCGAATGCAACCGGCATCCGGGAATTCGATCATCAAAAATTGATCCATCTCTGCCTGTCCCTTTTGGATCTGGCCCAAGGCATTTTGCAGCCAGGAGGGGTCCTGCTGTGCAAATTCTGGGATGGCAAGGAGAGCCATCTCCTCCGAAGCCGACTGTTGCAAGACTTCCGGGAAGTGAAGACCCTAAAGCCTCAAGCGAGTAGAAAAGAATCGGCGGAGACCTTTTTCTTAGCAAAAACATACCAAGGGGTGTCAAATGTGCAGCAGAAGAAACTTGAGTAGCTCCGTGCATTCTGTGTGGCATCGCTTACCAGACATGGTTGCAGCAGCAATAGTTGCATTTTTTGTTGGGGGAGGGTGCTGCAGATTGAAATTTTGCAGGCTGCTGGAGAAGTGGAGTCCTTGGTGCTCTCTGAGCTTGGTGGTTTTCTTGCAGACGTTTCAAGACCCAACTAGGTAACATCATCAGTGCAAACCTCAATCCCTTCTGGCACTGATGATGTTTCCTAGTTGGGTTATGAAACGTCTACAAGAAAACCACCAAGTTTAGAGAGAATCAAGGGCCCCTGAGCTATAAATATTCTATAACTGCTGAAGAAGTTTGTATATAGTATTGATTATAAGTTGTATAAATAAATAACCAATAGGACAAAACACAATCTCTCTCTTGTGTCCATTCGGAAAGAAACTTGTAGGACTTCATTCCCAGATAAAGACACCTGCAGCCTCTCTCTAGCAACAGCTGCTGACAAAAACTTGCATGGAGAAGATAATTCATTTACTATTTATTTATTGAAACGTAACCTCTCTCTTAAAACAACTCTGGGCAACTGCTTGAGCAGGGGGCTGGACTAAAAGACTCCAAGGTCCCTTCCAGATTCTATTCCATCCCATTCCATTCTATTCTATTCTATTCTATTCACAATCCATAAACCAACATAGCATAAATATAAAGCAGTATAAAACCACACAGAAACATTGTGTAAACAATGTAAAACAGCGTAGCAATAACGTAAAAAAATACAAATAGTGTAAAAATAATGTAAAACAGTATAAAAACAATATAAAACAATACAAATAGTATAAAAACAATATAAAAGTATAAAAACAATATAAAACAATATAAAAACAAGGATCTGCTTCAAAGAAGGCTTCATCACTGGAGGCTTGCAAGAAGAGACTGGGCTGCCATCTGTCAGAAATGTGTCGGGACTCCTACTTGGGCAGGGGGTTGGACTAGATGACCTACAAGGTCCCTTCCAGTTCTGTGATTCTATTCTTGCCCAATATAAGATACGATACACCGTATAAAAGCCGTCAGCCATAAACACAAAAACGATGTAGGTTTTAACATCATCTTTCCTGGAAATGGACTTTTTATTTATTTATCGAGAAATACAGAAATACCGACCTCCGCCAGAAGAGCGCGCCGCGACTCCTCTGATTTCTCGCCGCGCTTCTATTCCGAGCGCTACGGCCCACAAGCGAAAGCGGCTGGGAAGCGAAGGCGGGCGCGGCGAAATCTCGCGGGAGCTGGGCGGGGAACTCTCGCGGCGTCTCGGAGGGAGGGAGGGAGGGAGGGAGACCAGAGCTGGCCATGGCCGAGTGGGGAGGGTGAGTGCGCGCGAGCGAGCGAGCGAGCGAGGCCGAGGGTGTCACGTGGGTCCCGCGCGGGCGGGGCGGCAGAGGGCGGGCGGGCGGCGACCGGGGCGGAGGGGTCTCTTCTCGCCGCCGCCGCCGGCGGGACCCGGATGGCGGGGAGGGCGAGTGGGTGAGGGTCGTCCCTCTGGAGCCGGAGAACGAGGGCCGAGACTCACGCCGCCCCTCGCGCCGTCTTTCTCGGTTGGTGTGCCGAGAGTGCTCCTGGGCGTGTGCAGAGTGCCCTCCCTCCCACCATGTAACCACCCGGCTGCTTGGAGTCCCCATCCCCCTTCAAAGTTTGCTTGCAACCCCCCCTTCCCCTTGGACACACACACACACACAAAAAAAACACACACACACACATACACACACACAGAGACCAGTTTGGGCAGAGAAGCTAAACTGGGATGGGTGTGATGAAGAGAAACGAAGAGATCATAATTGCATTTTGATTTTTGCTAGCCGGGGTTGGCGTGGGAGAAATGGGGGAGCATAGGAAAGGGAATGCAAAAAATAAAAGAGTACTACAAAACCCCTAAGCTTTAGGAGGGTCAGTGTGCAGGCAGGGGACGATGGGGTTGAAGCCAAGATGTGAGGGGGGGTCCCCTCCTGCCTGTTCTGGATCACTTCCCTCTTCACTGCTGTTGCCTTGCAGGTGGTTGTGTTATGATTTTGCTTCTGTTTTCCTCTGTTTGCAACACTCGGATCTTTTTGTTTCCACTTGGGTTGTGTGATTGTTCTTCCAAAGCTGGTTGAAAGAAAGTGGAAACGAAAAAAGCCTGGTGTTGCAAAAAGAGGCAAACAAGCATAAACACAACTTGCAGAGGAGAGACAAAAGTGTAAACAGATACAATAATAAAGGAATAGAACCATTCTGATTTCTTTTCCAGCAAATGCAAGGATGATTACAACATTATTTTTTTACTCTAGTCTACGGTTATAAAAAAACCCCTTTCTTTTTCTCTATTGTCAACAAAACCACAAATCAAAAGTTCATTTTTTTTCTTTCAAAAAACCCTATAAGAGATTTCCAGACAGCGATAAAGGTGGAGTCCTGGGTGCTCTCTGAGCTTCGTCGTTTTCTTGCAGACGTTTCAGGACCCAACTAGGTAACATCATCAATACTGTAGGACTACACAGTTCAACCCTGTGCTACAAATATTCTTTTCTCTCGGCAGCAATAAATCCATTTCTTGTCTTTTCTCTAATCAAAGAAGCCAGATATATATTTTTTTACCTATTTGGAGGGCTAATTTTTTAAAAAAAATATTTTTAATTATATACCCGGCAGGACTCGAATGCAGATGGAGGAGGCTGAGGGGAACACCACTGTGTTCTCCATCCTGAAGTCGTACAACAAATTCATGTCCCTCTCTATGGAGGAATCTTCTGTCCAAGAGGCACCACAGTCTCCAGGCTCACTCCAGACACATTACCAGCAAATGATGAAGGTGAGGCAGTGTTCTTCAGTGGTCACATTCAGCAACCATCTAATCAAAGCCAGCAAAAATTTAGCCAACTAAATTATGACATATATTATAAGCACAGTGTCCACTGGTTCGCCACCCTTGGATCTGTGCTCAGATAACAGTTGTAGACTCCTCTCTTTCCCTGTTCTTCCCATTGACTCTCAACACTGCACTGTGGTTTTTAATATGCTAGTTTTACAATTTTACTATGGTTTTTATGCTGTTTTAACTTTGGGTTGGGAGCTGCCCAGAGTTGGTTAAAAGATGGGCGGCTGTATAATTGTTTTAAGTAAATAAATTAATTTACTAAGTAGTCGTGATTTGGTCCATATCCAGAGGGACGTGAGTGTTTTAGTTTGGAGGTGAACCAACAAAAACAGCTGAACTAGTTGACGCATCCCCTACCGAAGTTTATTTTGCTTTTCGCTAAATAAATGAAACCAACTGGAGCAGGGGCCCTAGTAGGTACCTGTATTCCTGGATAGAAATATTGTCCACTCCTGCGGGGGGTGGGGAGGTGGAAGTTGCTTGTAAAATGCTATAGGTTAACTCCAGGCCCTCCTACCCCACACACCCCCTCCAGAGATGGAGGCATGGCGAACCTTGTTCAACTGCTTCATGGGATTACTGCTTGGTCTCTTTTCCCCTTCGGTAATGGATCAGCTGGAAGAGCAGGCTGGGCAAATCCATTCGGGCACGCAGCTTTTGCAGATGGAACGGGAGAAAATGCAGATGGAATTAAGTCACAAAAGGGCTCGGATTGAACTTGAGAAGGAAGCCAACCTGAACGCCACCAAATTTGAGGTGAGCTGGGGAGTCACATTAAAGGTTGGGCTTCTGCCCTGGTGCATTTGTAACCTGGCTTGTTTGAGTAGCTTGTTCTATCACCTTGGTCTCTGTGGTTTATAATCCATAGCTTATGACTTAGGCCAGTATATAACTATTGATGGTTTATTCAGTCTGGTTCACATCACCCAGGGGGTCTGGTTTGAAGCTGTGAGTTCAGGTCCTCGAGCAGTAAAGAGGATAGAGTACAGATAGTCCTTGACTTGCAACCATTCATTTTAGTGACCGTCCAGAGTTACAACGGCATTGAAAAAAAACGACTTAGGACCATTTTTCACGCTTACGACCATTGCAGCCTCCCCGGGGTCACCTGATCAAAATTCAAACACTTGGCAACCGGCATGTACATGTGACGGTTGCAGCGTCCCGAAGTCAGGCGATCCCCTTTTTGCGACCTTACGATAAGCCAGACTCACTTAACAACCGTGTGACTCGCTTAACTGCAGCGATTTGTTTAACTGTGGCAAGAAAGGTCGTAAAACGGGGCAAAATTCACTTAACAGCTGTCTTACGGAGCAGCGGAAATTTCTGGGCTTCATTGTGGTCGTAAATCGAGGACTAACTGTCGTCTTAAGACGGCATTTCCTAGCCTTCTCAGCCACACATAGATGCTGAAGGTAGAACCGGATCATCCTCAGTATCCCAACTTGCCCTCTTGGGATAAAAAAGGCAGAATCAGGATACGGGCAAGTTATACACGGCATCGAATTGGCAGCAGCCAGTCGCAGTAAGATTGCCTCTGCCTGATGTTTCGGTCCAGAAGTAAAACGGCGAGCCTGCATTCTGTCTTGGAAAACGCTTCAAAAACCACAGAGGCTGCCCAAGAACGAAACCAAGTCAGCAGAAAAACCCCTGCCAAATGGAAGCGGTTGAGCGGTTTCCAGGTCTCACTTTAATTGAAGTGATTCTGGGGATTATCCTAACCGTTATTTCCAACTCCTCCCCAGCTCGTGAGTCAAGTCACAGAAACCCTTAAAATCCTGCTACGGGGAGGGGGGGGGAAACAGACCCCTAAAATGGAAGGGCTCTAATCCATCCATTGCCTTGCTTGAGATGGTGACTGAAGAATTTGCATAATCCTTGTTTAGCATGCAAATCCGTAGCTTGTTGCACTTTGATTAGCAGAGCCATCGGCTGCACGCTTTCTCCAATCAATGGGAATCGATTTGAGTTGGAAGGAAAGAAGAAACTATCCTGTAGTTCAGAAATGGAGATGAGGAATAGGCTAGATTTTTAGGGAAAGGAAACCGGGCCTGGGTTTTTGGACTTGGCAAAGTTTTGTTTTAGTCGTACCATCTGTTTCCCGTAGTTAAATACATTTTTCCCATTGATTTAATCCTGCCTTTATTTTTCATTTTTATAAATGACTCGAGGTGGTCAACCTACCTAATATGTCTTCCTGCTCCTATTTTGCAGAGTTTTATTTTAGTCAGAAAACAACAACTCTCAGGTACAGGGACTTAATGCCGAAATGCAATCTACTTGACTGCAAAAAGCAACGGCTTGAAAGGAGATGAGAACATTGGGAAACCGATAACTGAAATTTTCCGTGGCCCTTTTTTTTTCTTTCTTTTTTTGAAAGATGTGGAAGGAAAATTGGCCTAAGTGGTTTAAAGATTGTACATTAAAAAGGGAAGTGGAAAAGAAGGCTTTCTCTGCCCAAGAACAAGTTTTACGCGCAAATGTTATCAAAGGAACAGTGGGGAAAAAGCAGTTTAGATGGAAAATGGAAAAGCGATTGATTGTGGTAAGGGTGAAGCCGTGGACTACATAATGGCTAGATGCAGCTAATTTGCATGACAAAGCAAGCCATGATCAGGTTGGCAGGAGACTACAGCTGCCTTTATGTAAAAAGCACAGGTTGACAATGGCAGTCAATGAAAAGCTTGAAATCAAGCTCTGAAAATGACTTGAGTGAAGAATTTTACAGGATTTTAAAATTCAGACAGATCAAAATTCAGACTGATCAAGACCTGGAACATAACACACCATTCTGGGATGCTCTCTGAGCTTGGTGGGGGTTTTTTTGCAGACGTTTCATGACCCAACTAGGTAACATCATCATTGTTAGAAGGGAATGGGGTTTCATCATCATAGCACTGATAATGTTACTGTGGTTGGCTCAGGAAACATCTGCAAGAAAACCACCAAGCTCAGAGAGCACCAAGGACCCCACAGTCGTCTTTCTCCTCCTCCTCCTCTCTGCAAACCCCACTTCTTGGTTAAGTAATTTTATGTAGTTATCTTCTTTTATCATTGCACATCTTGCTGTTAGGTATATTCCCAAATATTTAACTTTCTTATTCCCAAATATTTAACTTTCTAAAACCCACTTCTTCTGGAACTGATGAGGTTCCCTAGTTGGGTCATGAAATGTCTGCAAGAAAACCAAGCTCAGAGAGCACCAAGGACACCCCCCCCCCCAAGTCCAACTCTGAGCTACAGATATTCTCTTCCATTGGTACACCAAATGTTACTGTCATTGAAAGGAACTATCTTTGATTTATGGATGTAGCCTTTCCATGATGCAGAACAGGCAGTCCTTGACTTACAAACTCTAGCTCAGCAACCGTTTGAAGTTACGACAGGCCTTCCTGGAGGGTACGTAGACCCTGCTTCTGAAGTTCCAGTTGACCAGCTTCCAAGCGACTTGAAATCCTTTTGTAGTGGAGAGAGGTAGTATCTTTTTTCCTCCTAAACCTTCTCTTGTCCTCTTTTTCCAGCGGGAGGCTGATCGTAATCAGGAGCTCCTTAAGCGCATCAAGCAGTGTCAGGAAAGGGAAACCGAGGTAAAAAATGCCCTTCAGGAACAACTTGAGATCAACAAGACCTGCCAGAAGAACATGGAGACCCTGAATCAGAAGCTGGAGGAGAAGGAGGCCAAGCTGACCGAGGCGAATGAAGTGAGGGCCGAGCCGTTGATTTGATGGAAGAGTATTTGATGTCATTTTGGAGCATACACGGGTGACGCTGTGAATAACTTGTGTTGCAAGAGTTAGGTGACAGTAAACAAAACGACACTGTGTTGTCACTTTTCCTTAAAACGAATGGTAGCATCTTCTGAGGCTTTAAGGCTGGGACAGCAGAAGTTAAGAAGCTGCATCTTTAAGCAATTCTAGAGGGATAATTCTTGGAAGCAAAACCAAGAATAATTCACAGTTTGAAATAAGGAGACATTTCCTGAAAGTGAGAACAATTAATCAGTGGCACGGCTTCCCTTCAGAAGTTGTGGGTGCTCCAACACTGGAGGTTTTTAAGAAGAGACTGGGCAGTCTGAAATGGTCTAGGGTCTCCTGCTTGAGCAGGGGGTTGGACTAGAAGACCTCCAAGGTCCCTTCCAACTCTGTTATTATTCTGTTAATAATTTGAAAGTTTGCATGGAGGTAAGATAAAATTAATACTGTACAGGTAGTTTTTGACTTACAGCCGTTAGCGCAGCGACGGCTTGAAGTCACAACGGCACTGAAAAAAGTGGCTTATGAGCAGTCCTCACACTTACGACCGTCACAGTGATCAGAATTGGGGCAATCAGAACTTGTTGATTTACAATGGCAGTAGCATCCCCAGGTCACGGGATTGCCGTTTTGGACCTTCCCAGATGGCTTCCCCTAAGCAAAGTCAACGGGGGGAAACATATTCCCTTAACAAATGCAGTTATTTGCTTAACAATTGCAGTGATTCATTTAACAACAGTGACAAAAGAGGTATTTAAGATCAGGTATGATTCAAATCTTAACAGCCACCTTACTTAGCGTTGGAGAAGGACCAGCTGTATGAAAGATCTACAGGCCCAGATAGGTAGCCTTATGAGGAAATAATAGTAGACCCATAATGATAACTTCAGCCCTTCCCATTGGACCAGCTCCATCATTCCTTCTCTGGTTCCACGCTTGTTGCAAAGTGGGACCATCCGAGCAGTTTTGAACTTCCAGGCTAGCTCTGTTGTCTACGTAACACGTTGTACATATTCCTCAGCAAGATTGAAGTCATTGAATATGCCTAAATCCCTACTGGGTTAAAATAAAATAAAAATAAAGTATTTTGGCCTGAAATTGGGAGAGAAATTGCTAAGCGAACCGAAGGCGTCACTCTGTAAATTGTCTTTACAGAGGCAGAAAAGCTGGAAGGCCGTTTCACATCTTTTTCTATCCTGCCTGTAATCTAGTTTAGAAAAATGGGCTTATCCGGCTCTTAAGGCTGTCACCGGTGCTTATCCGTGGCGGGGAGAAGATACACAAGCCGCTCTTTTGAAGTTGCGGGCGCGGAGAAAAACATTCATCCGGCGCTGACGGGACCATTTGCATCCCTTTGATGGTCTCCTTTCTAGATGGCGCAGGCTGCCTTTGAGCGTTGCCTCTCGCACGCTCCTCTAGTAAATAACAACAGTTATACTCGGAGGGAAGGAAGAGCAGGTGCCTGCGGATTAACTAAAAAAAGTCCGGATCGAGAGTCGTTGGGTCTCATGTACGTTTTAAGCGTTTGGTCAGAAATTTATTTCTTGGGGCAAAGGCATCAATTTGGACAGCACAGGGAACGTGTAAATTAAAATAAATAAATGTAGGTAGTCCTTGAGTTACGACAACGGAGGACCAATTTCTTTTGCTCGGTGAGAGTTTTACTTTTCTTGTCGTGGCTGTTAAACGAAACTCCGAAGTTGTTAAGTTGGTGACACCGTTGCTAAGTGAATCCCCCTTGAGTTTGCTTGTCAGAAGGTCGCAAAAGGGGATCACGCGGACCCCGGGACACTGCGACCGTCGTAAATGTGAGTCAGTTGCCAAGCGTCTGAATTTTGATCCTGCGACCACGGGGATGCCGCGACGGTCGTAAGTGTGAGAAATGGTCGTACGTGTGAGGAACGGTCATAAGTCACTCTCTTTCAGTGCTGTTGTAACTTCAAACCGTCACTGAACTGTTGAAAGTCAAGGACTGACTGTCAAATAAATTATTTCTCTCTCAGACCATCAGCGTCTTGAAGGGGAAAATATCGGAGTCACAGTGGAACACGATGAATCAGGAGATGGAGATGAAAAAGCAGGAATCCCAAAACCAGGAGTTGACCGAACAGCTGGATGTGCTCCACAAGTAAGCAGACAAGCAAGAGCTGTCCGGGGAATTCAATTCTAAAGTCTTTAGCAGCAAAATGTAATCAAAAGGATTGTAATCAGCGGCAAAGGTAGCCTTAAAAATAGTTCAGCCTTGAAAAATATGTACTTCTTTTTTTTAAAACGTCCAACATTTAAATATCCTGTCCCCTTTTGTCTATAATAGTGGACTGCAATCTGTAAAGGGAACGTGAAAGACCATTCAAAGCTATTGTTTTTATAGCTGTAATTGATGACTGGTATGGCTGAAGCGAGTTTTGAAGTCTACTTTGGGAGTTAGGACCTCAGCGCCATCTGCGCCTGTTCCTTTAAACATAGCGCTGATGAATTCACAGATACCAAGAAATGTGTAGCTGGGATATCTAGTAGTATTATCCATACGTGGATGACACTCACCTATTTATCAGTAATGGAGAATATTTGTAGCTTAGGGTTGACCTCAGCCTTGGTGCCCTCTGCACTTGGTGGTCTGCTTACAGGTGTTTCATGACCCAACTAGGGAACATTATGAGTGTTTGAAGAGAGATGGAGGAGGAGGAGGAGGAGGACGACAATGATGACGACGACGACTGTGGGGTCCTTGATGCTCTCTGAGCTTGGTTGTTTTCTTGCAGATCGTTCATGACCCAGCTAAGAAACATCATCAATGCTAGAAGGGGTGGTGGTGGTTGCTCTGATGATGTTCCCTAGTTTGGGTCATGAAACATCTGCAAGAGCACCAAGGGCCCCTATTTCTTTGTTAAATGTTTATGCCGTCCATCTCCCCTACAAGGTAAATCTGGGCAGTATATAAAATCTAATCAGAGGAACATTGGTCCACACATCTTAAATGTTGTTGAGTTTGGGAAACCCTGCTGTGTGCGCTAATTTTGGATATTTTATCTCCACCTTCCACAGAAAATGGCAAGAAGCCACTCAGCATATCCAAGTTCTTCAGGCCAAGGAGGAGCTGATGTCCAAGAAGGACCAGAAGATTCAGGTGAGACCTCTATTCCCTCCCTCTGTGCATTACCTGGAGATCTCTCTCTACCCACCTGCTCTTAGGAAAGCACCAGCTTTTCCTACTCATTTCAAAGTATAACCCTTGTCCAGTTGTCTTCTGAAGGTGTCCTTGCTCCTGTTTTCTCCAGGACCTCGAGCAGAAGCTCTCCATGCAAGAACAAGATGCGGTCATCGTGAAGAACATGAAGACGGAGCTGGCTCAGTTTCCCCAGTTGGAACGGGAATTGCAGCAACTCAGGGAGGAGAACGCCTACCTTAGGTAAGGAAAAGAAAATGATTCTATTTGGTTTTATGTGTGAGTGTGTGTGTCAGGATCTTTGTGCTGTTTTTTTCTTCATCTTCTGCCTGTTTTTGTCGCCTGTTTCTCTCTCTCTCTCTCTCTCTCTCTCTCTCTCTCTCTCTCTCTCTCTCTCTCTCTCTCTCTCTCTCTCTCTCTCTTCCACCTCCCTCCCTCCCTCCCTCCCTCCCTCTCTGTGTTGAAATGTAGTTGCAGGAGGGAGGGGCTTTTCCCAAAGAGCAAAGACACAGCAGAGCGTGGAGTCCCTAGCCTTTCACAGGGCATAACTAATAGTTAATGCAGTTTTATGCTTTAGTCTGGCAAGATTCCTGTCTGTGGGCAAGCAGCAATAAAGAAACTACTCTGAATTAAGTCCTTCTGTCATTCTGGGTTCCTTGTACCCGACATTGTGGGGCTTTTTCACAAAGAGGGGTTAAAAGAGGGGTGATCCAACCTTGGCTGCTTTTAAGACCTGTGAGCTTCAATTCCCAGAATTCCCCAGCCAGCCAGCATTAAATTCTGGGAATTGAAGTCTACAGAAGTCTGAAATGAAGTCTGTAGACTTCAATTCCCAGAATTGAATGCTGGCTGGCTGGGGAATTCTGGGAACTGAAGTCCATAGGTCTTAAATTGAGGTCCATAGGACACCCCTGTATTAGAGTTAGGGCTATTTCAAAGGCCATTTCGAAGAGAACATTCTGATGGGATTGGGGTGAACTGCCAGGCTGACGACTTACTCCGAACGTGTCCTGTTGTTCCCTTTTTGTCTCTGTCTGCCTTCGTTTCATGTTTCTGATGTTAGCCAAGCCACATCAAACAAGCTTCTCCTCTAAGCAAGGGAGTATTTTGGGGTGTCTCCACAGGGAAATGAGAGAAAACAACGGATTGCTGAAGGAGGAAGTGGAGGGTCTCCGAAAGAAGCTCCAGCGATTTGAAAAAGTCCAGGCAGAGCGGGTGGCTTTGGAGCTGGAGAAGGAGGTAAAAGTCCGCCCACTCTAGGCGCCTCGTTGCTCCTCCTGCTCTTAGGCGGGAATGAGATTCCTTGGTTTTCCAAGCTGAATACAGGCAGTCCTCCATTTACAACCAACCTTTCCGAGTTACAACGGCACCGAAAAAAGTGACCTATGACCGTTTTTTCACAGTTAACCACCATTGCATCATCCCCGGGATCACGTGATCAAATTTCGGATCATTGGCACACTGACTCACATTTATGACGGTCGCAGAGTTCCCCCGGGGTCACGTGATCCCCTTTTGCGACCTTCTAGACAAGCAAAGTCAGTGGGGGGAAGCCGGATTCACTTAACAACGGTGTCACTAATTTAAGGATTGCAGTGATTGGCTTAACAACTCTGGCAAGAAAGGGTAAAATGGGGCCAAATTCATTTAACCAATGTTTCACTTAGCAACAGAGGTTTTGAGCTCAGTCGTGGTCATAAGTCAAGGACTACCAGTACATACAGCTAGTCTTCATCTTACAATAATTCATTTAGTGACCTTTCAAAGTTACAACGGCATTGAAAAAAAACAACTTAACGACTATGTTTCACAGTTACAACCGGTACATCATCCACGTGATGGCGTGATCGGAATTCAGAGGCCTTGGCAACCGGCTCGTATTTATGACGGTCGCAGCGTCCCGGGTTTGTTTGTGTGTGTCACGTGATCCCCCTTTTGCAACTTTCTGACAAGTCAAATGGAAGCCAGAATTCACTTAACATCCAGGGATTCAGTTAACGGCTGAGGCAAGGAAGGTCATAAAATGGGGCCAAGCTCATTTAACAAATGCCTCAGTGGACAAAAAGAAATTTGGGGGCTCAACTGCGGTCGTAAATTCGAGGACTTACCCGGATATCCTGTACATCTGAGATAGAGTTAAACACACACACACACACACACACACACACCTTAAGAGCTTTAGATTTACACCCAGATCGTTTCTGTTCTCAACGGAACGAAACACACGATACAGAATCCATAATATGGATTTCAATGTCTCCACGTGAAAATAGTTTCTTTAGAGCGCGGACATTAATTTGAGCAATTGCAGCTATTCGGCGGTTCCGATTACAACGCAGCCGAGTCTCCGGCAAAACCCCGGCGGTCGGAATTTAAAATACGGACGACCTCTGAGCCGATTTCATCAATCCGTTTGAAAGGGAGCTTCAAGGCACAGAAGACTTTACCTAGTCCTCGACTTACGGCTACGACAGGGCCCAGAATTTTTGTCGTCAATTGTGACGGTTGTAAGCTGAGGCACTCAAGTGACCGACTAGATTTTATGAACTTTTTTTTTTGGCGTGGGTTGTTAAACCAACAGCGTGGTCCTAAAGCGAATGTATTGGTCATTAAGCGAGTCAATACATTCCTATGGGCGATTTTTTTGTTGTTCAAAACCGGTCCAAAAGGTTGGTTTCCTCGGGAAAACAAATGTCATAAATTGAGTCAAGTGACTGCAGAAGGCTGCGACCGACCAGCTGTCAGGTGTCCTAATTGTGAACACGTGACTCTCTGTGTGTGTGTGTCTGTGTGTGTGGTTGCAGATGTAGTTGCATTATTGAATTTTTTTTTAAAAAAACCCCAACTTTCTCTCCTTTTGCTCCTTCAGAAACTTCAGGAGAAACTGAGCATGTGGGAAAAAGCGGACCAGAACATGGGCTTAGATATCAAGTAAGTGGAAAAATGGGAGTGAAATTCTGACACCTCCACATTTCGTTTGTTTGTTGCTGGGTGTCTCCAGGTAGTCCTCGAATTCGGCCTGCAGCAGTCAGGAACAGGCAAAATGTAAACAAAACATCATTTCAATTATATTAATTGGATTTCGCCATTCGTTTAGCGAGCGCTGGAACTTACGACGGCACCGAAAAAGGTGGCTTATGGCCAGTCCTCCGCTTAACGACCATCTCAGCATCCCCGCAATTACTTGATTCGAAAGCTTGGCCACCGGCATGCATTTATGACGGGTTGCAACAACTGGGGGGGGTCACGTGACCCCCCCCCCTTTGTGGACTTCCCAGCTGTCTTCTGATAAGCAAAGTCAATGCGGGAGCCTGGATTCACTTAATGACTGCATGGTTCACTTAACGACTGCAGCGATTTCGCTTAACAACTCTTGGCTTCCAGCGAGCCCAAGTCGAAGCTGGATTTGCTTACAGCCACCGCATAATAATAATAATAATAATAATAATAATAATAATAATAATAATAATAATAATAATAATAATAATAATAATAATAATAATAATAATGAGGAGGAGGAGGAGGAAAAGGAGGTGGAGGAGGAGGAGGAGGAGGAGGAGGAGGAGGAGGAAGAAGAAGAAGAAGAAGAAGAAGAAGAAGAAGAAGAAGAAGAAGAAGAAGAAGAAGAAGAAGAAGAAGAAGAAGAAGAAGAAGAAGATGATGATATAAAATTGGGCACAACTCATTCAGAGACTGCATGTTTTAGGGATGGGAGCCCCAGTCCCAATGTGCAGTCGTAAATTGAGGACTCGCTGTGATTTCTGTGATTGGGGGAAAAAAATGGGTGTGATTCTCTCAGATTGGCGCCGGGGGAGTTAAATATTTTGGGGCTGCGAAGTTCCACCTGCCAGCTGTTCTTTGAGATGCCAAAGCGGGGGGGGGGACCCAGGCGAGGGGTTTTCAGTTCCTCATATTCCTGTTTAATGAGGTTTAATGAGGGAAAGCCAGGGCAGAGAGAGTCTTCTCGCTACAGATAATTAACCTCTTCATTTAAGTCTGATGGGAAAACACGAGTGAGGGGCCTGACTGCAGCAGAGCAAGCCCCTTCCTCCCTCCGTTCCCCAAGAATGACATTCCCCAAATATCTTTTTTTTTATGAAGCGGCATTAAACGGAACGGCCCTTTCCTCGATTTATTTTTTGCTTATTGATTCAATTTGTTTGCTCGCCCCAAAGGCGGCTCTCGATCTGTGAAAAGCCATCGCCGGCAGTCGGCTTCCAACAAGCACAGTTGGGGTGGGGGCAACCCCGGATTCACTTAAGGACCCCCTGATTCACTTATTAACAACCAATTCGCTTAAATGACCGTGGCAAAAAGAAATTGGGCACGGTTTTCTTAACTACCGCCTTACTTAACCCAGAAACGCCAGTCCCGATTGGGGTGGTAAATATTCTCCGTGTTCAGATTATTCTCGTGCAAATGCCTGTTTTACTGTACTACGTGCCCATAGTGGCTTTTTATTTATTTATTTTACTTATTTTTAGTGACTTTTTATTATTGTGGGCAGTGTGTCATTCTCCACTAGGTGGCAGACTTCCTTTGGCTGTACCTGCATTGATTTCATGGACTGGCATACATCAAGGAGCTAGTCCTTTGTCTTAGGACCACAGCTGAGCTCAACATTTATTTTGCTAAGCGACACAATTGTTAAGTGAGTTTTGTCCCTTTTTCTTTTTTCTCTTTAAGTGAATGACTGCAGTGGTTAGCTTAGTAACTTAACTTCCATTCCACCCTCTTCTCTTTTTCTGTCAAGCTGCCAGCAAAGCAAAATGCGGGTGAAAATGCAAATCAGTCTTTTTTTTTTTTTTTTTTTTAATTGGAAATTTTTAGAATTTTTACAATATAACTCCCCACCTCCCTCATACCCCACCCTTCCCCTCCCCCCTCCCTTCCCCCCGACTTCCCAGAGCTACACACAGGGTTTACAATACAATAATTATATTCTGTCTTAAANGTGCTTTATCAAGAGGCAACTGGACTTTTGTGTTTTTCTTTGAAGACGTTTCGCTTCTCCTCCAAGAAGCTTCTTCAGCTCTGACTGGATGGTGGGGAAGGGAAGGATTTATACTGCTTGCAGACAGCCGGTCATTTGCCTCCTTTTAGAGAGTCGTTGAGGCCACTTGGACCTTGAGACAAACCTCCAAGTGGCCTCAACGACTCTCTAAAAGGAGGCAAATGACCGGCGATCTGCAAGGAATCTAAATCTTTCCATCCTCCGCCATCCAGTCAGAGCTGAAGAAGCTTCTGGGATGAGAAGCGAAACGTCTTCAAAGAAAAAACAAGAAAGTCCAGTTGCCTCCTGAAAAAAGCACCTTTGGGGCAACCAGGACCTGGATGACGGAGAAGCTGCGTAGACAGAGAGGAATATTGCATTTTTGGCTGATGGGAGGCCCCTGTAAGAACCCAGTTTACATCAATCCCAGGCATTTTATTTCACTCCCAGCGAGACGGAGGGTGTTGCTTTTAGCATCCGCCCCTACATTGGATTGGAAGTGAGAAAGGAACTTGCTAATTGCACTTTTTCCATTTCTTGCTTCCCCCCCCCCCCCGTGGGACTTCGCCCTCTAGTTTCTTCTCTCTTAAGCGAAGGGAGCGCAAGATGGTGAAATGGCACGGCGATCAATTTTTGTGTGCGCATCAAGGAAGTTAAGTGCCGAATTCGGAGGCTGTCTTGAGTTGAAGCTCCAGGAATTCTATTTTTCTTTCTTTCTTCCGACTCTGAAAAAGAGTGAGAGAACTCAGTTAATGCACTTTTTTTTTATGGGGGGGGGGTGAATTATCCTTAATAAAACCAAGGCCCTGCTGTTAAAATGAAAGCCGTTCCGTTCTTCTACCTTCTTCCCAACGTGTGCTGGAATTACGATCGCATTTCCATTTCTATGAGTCGGTTTTTACAACGTCAGTCTGAGACGGAAAACGGGCTCGCTCTTTCCTCCCCCCCCCCACTTGCTTGTATGTGTAGTCTGCTTGAGAGTTTTTAAGAATTGCAAGCCCCAATTTGTGTCTTTTAGCTTTCGTGCTGGCTAAAGCAAACCCCTCCCAAAAGGGGGGGGAGCAGATTTCCCCTCCCTCCGATTGTTTGTTAAAAAATTTGTTTGGATTTTCGTTTGGTTTTTTTAAAAAAATTGAGGAAATTAAGTTCAGGTAGAATGCAGCAGTTATTGCTCAGGATGAATTGAGTTGCTAAAATAGGACAGGGGGTCTTCCATTTGAAGAGCTTTTGAAGTTACAAGACAGTGAAAAAAGGGACTTATGACTGGTCCTCATACTTACGACTGTCACAACACACACACCCCCACAGTCACGGGATCAAAGTTCAAGTGCATGCATTTATGACAGTTGCAACTCCTTGGGGGTCATGTGAATACCATTGGTGGCCTCCTCATCTGGGTTCCCAGAAGCAAAATCAAATGTGGGAAACTAGATTCGCTTAACAGAATAACAGAGTTGGAAGGGACCTTGGAGGTCTTCTAGTCCAGCCCCCTGCTCAAGCAGGAGACCCTAGACCATTTCAGACAGATGGCTTTCCAATCACTTCTTGAGTGATTGGATTGCACCCACAACTTCTGGAGGCAGGTTGTTCCACTGGTTAATTGTTCTCACTGTCAGGATTACAGAGGATCCAACCCAGGGACGAACTATTCAAAGGTAGACACCGAAGAACAAGATAAATATTACCTGTAAATTTTACTGTTACATACGTTCGTTGTTCACGTAGATCTTCGACAAATAAATCAGACTTCCGGTCCATGTTTTATTTGAACGTCGTGAAAACTTGGGATAGGACTAAGGACTGGAGAACGTGGAAGTGTCAGAATAAAGCTGGAAGTCTGGAGGTCTTCCAGTCCATCCACCTGCTCAAGCAGGAGTCCTTATCTCATTCCAGAAAAATAACTGTCCAGTCTCTTCTTGAAAATCTCCAGGGTTGGAGCACCCACAACATCTGGAGGCAAGCGATTCCACTGGTTGATTGTCCTCACTGTTAGGAAGTTTCTCCTTAATCCCAGGTTGCTTCTCTCCTTGATTAGTTTCCATCCGTTGTTTCTTGTCCTGCCTTCCGGTGCTTTGGAAAACAATTGGACCCCCCTCCTCCTTGTGGCAGCCCCTCAAATACTGGAAGACTGCTATCGTGTCCCCCCTAGCCCTTCTTTTCTCTAGGCTGGCCATACCCAGTTCCTGCAATCGTTCTTCATATGTTTTAGTCTCCAGACCTTTAATCATCTTAGTTGCTTTTCTTTGTATCTAACTGACATACACTCCTTTCCCTTCTGGGGGCTGAGATGCCTCTTCCATGCCACTTGTCCAGTCTGTCTCCTTCCAGCGATGGAAGTCCCTCAGTCCATTACAAGCCACCCAATCAGCTAGGTTTTTTCTCTCTTATTGCTAGGCAGTTTATTGCCTCGCCAAGCAGAGCAAATTGACTTTTGATCTGATGCGGGACAGTTTTAATTTGTAAGTCTTGGTTTTCCAAAACTGACCTCTAAGGTTTAGGCCTCTCAGTGGCTAGCTGAAAACACTGCTTTGAAAATACTAGTTTAGGGAACAGGCTTCTGGGCATTTTTAAATGTAATTTTTAGGAGGCTTAGGAATATACTTCAGAGTTTCCAGCTCTTTGTGTTGCAACTAGTCCATTCTGATTTGCTGACGCTAATTATGAACCAAACACAGATTAAATCTTTCTAAGCCTTCGGTCTACCTGTGAGGAATAATACTAAAAGCCAGCCTGCCTGTCTGTCTTTTGATGCTCTTCCATCTTTATTTATTTATTTAGAAGAAATAATTTGGCTTTGCATTCCCTGTACTTTGAGAGAGATTGTACAGCATGCATTAATTAATAACTCTTTTTTTTTTTAAGTTCTTCTTTTGAAACGTCTCCAGTAGTTTGGTGGCATAAAAGGGAGAAGAACCATCCCTGTGTGCATATTCTCCTG